AGACAAGGAGTGCAAGAGAAGAAATGCTAACTCATTGTTTAACTCATTGTTTAACTCATGAAAGAAATGCACCAGAAAACAAACTTAAGAATAGTTTACGACAGGCCCGTCCTCTCCAAAAGAAAACCCGGCCGCGTCAATCCCGGCCGGACGCGGACCGCGCTCCGCGGGCCTCGTACTTGAAGTTCGCAGGCAGCTTCTCGGGCCTCGATGGGCGCATCGCATCGAGACCCGCGGATTGAAGGAAACGGATCCCATGTGAACCAACCGTTTAAAGGCTACCCCAAAAGGAAAAACATGTGTCAACATAGGCTAGGGGTAGAATAAGGGTACCCAATTGATTCTTAGTCTATTTTAGTAGGGGAACCCTCGCCCAAAACAGGGTAAAAAGGCACTACAGGGGGACCTAGAAGGAATCTTGGCTATTTCTGAGTCTGATGCCCAAGGCCGTGAGGGATGTATGACATATCCCAAAAGCTGAGCTTTTTGGTATCGGATCAACGAACCACTAAGCCACGTGGAAGTTTCGCAAAATGGTATCTAAAGGAAAACCAAAAGTTGACACAGACACGTTCGGGCTCGTGTTCATGGCTTCAAACCGGTCAATTCACTTTCCGTGATACTGTGGACAAAATCCTGCACCAGTTTGAAACCATCTGGTGGTTCTTGGCTGCAAGATGCGCCAACCTATTCCCCCTTTACCAAAACCGTCGGCCCAAGAACTCGACACAGTTGGGTGTTTCTCAGAATGGATTGTGGACCCTTTTGGTCGATCCTTGGGAAACCTAAAGGAAACCAACCATCCTAGGGGAGCGATTTCGATTGCCAACCTATAGAACTGTTTTTTCAGATCTTCCAAGGCTTCCGTCCAGTCACGTCATGCATTGGAGGGTAAAATAAGCCACCTGGATGTGGATTTGTTGACGGAACCGTTTGAGGTGAATGTCCACTTTTGAGGCAGCTTCCTATCAAAATTCACGGCCACCGAAAGCAAACAGGCAGGTCAAGAACAGGACTACTTCCTCATATCTTCGAAGGCTAGCTGGACCTGGATTGCAGGTGCAGAACAAAGGCAAGGAGGTGTTCCAGCTTTCTCTGGCGACTTCGGATTGCCGGTTCCTTTTTCCTTCCGAACTCGTGGAGCACCACCGAACCGTCCCGAGTCCCGGTGCCCAGCGTTTTGTGCGCAGGTTTTCCCCGGTGCAAACTTGTGGGAACGAAAGCCGGGCCCCCAGAAAAAGGCCGGCTGAGAAAAACACGAGAAGGAGATTTGAACTTGGTTGACGTTGGAAGGGGAGTAAACAAAAAAAGCAGAGAAGTGGTTGGATTTCAACCACTAAACCACAATAAGCAAAAATGTGAAATGTTTCCCGACAACAACCATGTGAATGTCCTTTCACAAGAGACGCATCTCGGTTAAATTGTGACCAACCAGCTTGGGCAAACCAGCCCCCAGAAGTACGGTTAGATGATTTCCACCGACAGAAAGGGAGTGCCATCTAATTTCACCCGAGTGTAAACCAAAGGCGAATAAGATGATTTCAGGTACGCTAGTTGAAGTCCAATCTTGTCAACAAGTGAAGACGTGAAAACTTCAGCAACTTCTGGGCAACCCCCCGAAGGCTCAACGGGTGGCGATCGCACGCAATGCGTGTAGCATCCTGTCCTGACAGCTTTCAGGAGGCGTTTTCGAAGTGCCCGTCATTTTCCTTTCAGCCTTTAACGAGTTCCCTTCATGGTGTGTCTTTTTTGGGGGACCGCCCAAAATGGCCCAAGGGTTTCCTCTTTTCCTTTCAAACCCAGAAACAACGGGGTACCCTTCGCCACAACAGACAGACAGGGGAAATGGAGCTGGGAACCCGCGCCCCAGCGCCTCCAAGACCTGAATCTTTCACGCTGCTTGGAGGTCCCTTTCGTCAAAGGCTAGCAAGAAGGTGACCGTGATTTTGCGATCCCAAGGCTAGCAAGAAGCGTTGCTTTTTTGCAGGTCTCGCCACCAAACATGAACAGAACAAACCAACACAAAGTCTAAATACATACATGCTGACAACGTGAAGATGAACAAGCGGCGGTTCCCAAATGGCACTGAAAATACCTGGATAAATGAGAAGAGCTAAACTGAAACCAGGACGAAGCTTCTCCAAGGGCATAGAGGTCGGCATTGAGCTTGTTGCCCGAGTCAAGGCCTATGCTATCCGTAAGGTGCCATCCAACACTCAACTTTGCGGCGCTTTGTTCCAAAGAAAACAGTCAATGGAGAGGGCCGTCCTTCGCGGGTCACTGGATTTCTCCCACATCAAAAGTTGATCAACTCACTGGTGTCCATTGAAACCATCGGTTTTCACTTTTGGAGGGATCCTTACATTATACACCTGAACATTGCCTTGTAAATGGTGGTTTCCATTTCTTTATTTTGGTGGAAAAAGCCATGTTTCAAATGGTTGCAACATGTATCTTTTAAGAAGCCCTGTTTTGGAGGGCTCCAAAAAGGGCTGCCTGGAGGAACCGAGAGACCCTGTCTTGGGCTCTTCTGGAAGCCATCCCCGGAGTTGCTCTTTTGCCTCGGTATCCCAGAGGCTACCACTCAACGTGGGTGTGGACCGGGGACCCCCCCCAAAGAAAATTGGCGGGTTTTTTGTTGGTCTCCCTTTGCAACGACCCAAAAGGGGAGGGGGGGGGACCCTCCAAGGATGCACCGGTCCATGATTACCAGGTCTTTGCTCGCAGACCATCCGAACGGCTTCATGCTGTCAACCGCATTTCGCACAACGGAACGGGGTGGGTAGCTTCCAATGCTTTTGGGGCGTCATGTCAGACTGTTGGACAAAGTCCGCTTGGCTTATCAACCAGCATTCAAAACGGGTGAAGCTTTCATCCCCAACCTGGGCGTGTCATGGATTTTGTCCATCCCCAGTATTGTCCGTGTCCCTGGCTCACAATGTATGCGTAAGCTGCCAAGGTCCCCCTCCCCGGCCCCCATCATTGCCTATGCATGACGCTGGCCCTTCATTGAAAAAAGTATATGTCCCATGCCGCTTCATGTCTGCCAATTGCAGGTGCCGTCTTAGACTTTTAAAAAAGGCCGGGTGCCCAATTCAGTCTGCCAAGTGCTCCATATGATATGGTGTATTTTTGAGACTACCTCCTTTTTGTGGTTTTAAAGGGACACCAACAGCAGAAATACTATTCTTGGGGTCCCCTATTCTAAGACCAACCCCATATTTGAGTGGAGTCCATTCTTTGGAATGCTCGCATGTCCATGGGGTGTGTTCTGAGCCCGTTCTCTATAGTAGGGTTGGGCCAGCGGTGTAAACATGTTTTGCAACCATCGCTCTTGCAGCCTACTTTCAGCTCCAGCTAGCTTGCAGCAACCATGTTTGACAGGGGTCACTGGATTCCCCCAAATCAAAAGTTGCAAGGCGGAACCTGCATTTCTTGCAGCTTTTTGACAACTTTCAATCTTTGTGTGTGTCTCAAAATTGGGGTCCCGGTCCCCTCCCAACAAGTGGTTCCCTTGTGGTTTCCCTCTAATAAACCATCCCCAACGGTGCCCTCGAAAGAAAAAAATGGAACCACACCCATGGCATGAATCTTAGCTAGGGACAAGAGCTCTGGTGGACATGACATTTGTGTTGGAGAGTATTCCTTCTTGAAACTCATCGCCATGTTGGCTGGCTGGTACTTCTTGGAGTTGGTAACCAACAGGAAATCCCCTTGCATCCATTTTGGGGTCCAGTCCTAATGCAAGCGCAGGTGGTATCCCCAACAGCCCCGGAACACGCTGGAACCCTCCGGAACCCTCCGGAACCCTCCGGAACCCTCCGGAACCCTCCGGAACCCTCCGGAACCCTCCCTGAAAGCTGCCCCAAGCCACCCCAGATCACCGATTTCTGGGCCTATCGACCCCAGCTTCCAGCTGTTGGGCAAAAAAGAAGTGACCAGGTGGACCCAGGTGGTTCAGCTTCCAGCTGTTGCGGCAAAAAAGACGAGGCAACAGGTGTTTCCACCACCGCCGTTCACCTCAACTTCCCTCTGGCCTTCTCGAGGGTTCCGTGTTGGACCATCAGCTTGATGGCCGTGGAAGGGCCTCTCATCGAACGGGTGATGCCCACAGGGGTCATTCCTGGCTTCCCACTTGACATCGCCACCTTTGAAGGTTCCAAAAAGGGAAATGAAGGAACCCCTGCAATCAAGGGAACCCGGTAGAAACCAAAAAAATGAATGATGGTTGCCTACCACTCTTGAAAAACACAAACAAAGAAATGATGTTTACCTAGTAGCTGGTGATTTGCGTCCATTTCCCTTGAAAAGATACCCCTGGCCGTGGCAGTGTCAATGGAAACCACCAACCCATTTCCCCGTATAGGAGGAAACCAAGGAAATCACCCTGTAGCATCGTGTGACGCTTTTAGCTTCAGCCTCCCTCTGGTTTGTGATTTCAGTTGGTTTGGAGGTGGGGTGGTTTCCCATTCACCCCCCAACAAGAACCAGGGGTTCAAATCCAAATCCAAACAACCCATCCAAACCAGCAATTAGGGAAAACCTAATAAAAACTTTGCCAACTTTCTGTGTAAGCAGTGACCAGTTGCAACTGCATCACTTTAAAAGGGACTCCCTTGACCACGTCTCTCTGGTGCCAGTGACGCTGGCTTTACTACTTTACTGCCAGTGACCCACCCGGTTTCAATTCATCTCGATCCTGTTCTTGGGGCTTAGTTGCGGCACGGTCGACATATCCTGTGCGCTTTTGGCACAAGTGAAAGTGGCTGGTTCTCTTTTTTGTTTCCTGGGGACGGGGGTCACCGTTGGACCCATTTTGACGGACTTGAGCCTCCGGCGGCCCTCCAAAAGGGACCACTCGGGTTGTGGAATCACTCGGGCTCGGGTCGCTCCATGCTGACCGAACCAATGTTATCAGCTCAAAAATTGTCTTCGATGGATAACTGTGAGACAATGCTTTGAGGTTGATTTCGGCTTACCAAACAAATGCGAAAGTGCAGCGGCCCCTGTAAGACTTCTGTCTTGGAAAGGGAGCAACAGCGCTCTGCTTGTTGGGAGGGTACAGTAGCTAATGGTTGACCTTCACACCTTTTCTTGGAGGGAAAGGGTGAGACCGTTCCAGTCCCACAAGAACAAAAGATGCGCACCACACCGCATCTTCCTTCGTTGTTTTTGGATTTGTAGGCTGTTGAAGGCGTTGACGGTGTTTGAAGGGAAGTTTTGGTGGAGGGGTTGACATCATGCTCTAGAACAGGTATCAGTACTTCCATTTGTTGAAATGAATATGCGTGTTATTTCTGCCTCTTTGGCTTTGAACAGGAAATCGATTTGGCAAGGGGAAATATTTGCTCATGTTTTCCAGGGGGCAAAAAACGCAGATGAAAGAATACCATTTTGTTTTGGCATGCCTGTTTTCAGTCAGGGGTTGACATCATGCTCTACGTATTAGGAGGAGAAACATATACCATCAAGCCAACTTTTGTCCGACTTGGGAAACCAAAAAGAAACCGCATCAAGGCTTGCTTCTCAACTTGTCTTGGGATAGACTTAGTCTTCAACGAACCCTGGCTGGGAGAGTGCTAGCAACTGGGTTGCTTTCAAGCCCTTTTCTCTACTGGACTGGATGTTGGCGGGGAAGTTCCACATACCCTTTGCATGTCCTTTTTCAAGGGGACTTCTAGGTACGGGTTTCGGAAGTATGGTCATATACCACTGATACAAGGGGTTCCCTCCAAAAAGGGACACGCATCTGGGTGTGACGGTGGATGTGGTGTTCCTTGTGGTCCACCCTTAAAACCACAAACAAATAAGTACCCGAGAAAAAAAAGACCCCGAGTAAAACAAATTGGGATAAAAAGGGCTCGCAACCAAAGGTCTGAGAAAATTCGCCCCTTCATTCAAGGGTGGAAGGAACACCACACAAGGGGTAATCCAGGGGTAATGCCCCTGAGGTTTGCCTGCGCCCCGAACCAACGCCCCGACACAAAAACCCAAACCTAAACCCAAAAAACATAAATCTAAACCCTAAAAACCCTAAACCTCAACCCTAAAAACCAGAAACCTAAACCCTAAACACCCTAAACCTAAACCTTACAACCCTAAGCCTAACCCTACCCTAAAAACCCTAAACCTAAACCCTAAACACCCTAAACCTAAACCCTAAAACCCTAAACCGAAACCCTAAAAAAACCCAAACCTCCTTGCAGAAACCTAAGCCCTAAAAACCTAAACCTAAACCCTCAAAACCCTAAACCTAAACCCTAAAAACCCCCAGACCTTCCTGCTACCCACCCCTCGTGGTACCACGGCCCCACGTTCTGAAGAGAACGTAGGTCACCACGTGTCAGGTATGGCTGCACGAGTTGTGCTACTTGAGTAGTATAGGGTGCCATACTTGAACCACGTGCTGGACAAGGGTGGATTAGGGGGTGCCGGCAAACCACGGGGGCTGTGGGTAATAGTAGGAGGGTGTTCCCAAAAGCGATGACTCCCCACTAAAAGAAAAGGACACCGGAAACCCGATCAAAGTCAGCCAGGGGCTCTGCTTCATTCCGGGTTTTGGGGTTGGCAAGGGAAACCAACCATGTCTTTGGGGGGGGGTCCGATTCCTACTTTGAGACCAACCACAAATATCTATATATATATATATATATACATACATATATACGGCATTGAGGCAGCCATACCTCAACTCGGTCTCGGGGTATGTCCTGGACTCTTGGGAACTGAAGAATCATGAACAAAACACCAGGTCCTTCCTGTTTAAGACAAAAAACAAAACACATGTTGTGAGGACACAACAAAAAAGGTGACAAGACCAAAACAACAAAAAAGTCTCGAGGAGCCAGCGCCGCACTCCGTGGAGTCTAAGGCTCCGACCCACACCTTTCAGGGTGTCGCAGTAGTCACAGCCGCAAAGGATGCAGAAGTCGATGAACTGATCCATGGTGATGTTGAGCCTCCAGGCTTCAAGATGGCCAAGGGTACCTACCGTTCGGGACACTTTGGGCAACACCCCTGGAGTACGTCCCCTCCGAGTTTTTTGCATTTTTGTGGCTTGCGTTGCTGTTTTTTCTTGGTGTTCGGGAAGTTTTTTCTTTTTGTTTAGCTTCTCCTTATAAGGCTCATTGTAGAGCTCCTCATCAGGCTCTTTATAAAACTCCTCATGAGGCTCCGTGTAAAGCTGCTTGTTCAACTCCTGTTGAAGCTCCTGTTGCAGATCTTTTTAAGGCTCCTTAGTGAGCATGCTCCAGAATGAAAAGGGCCACAAAGGCTCACAATTCTTTAAATCTGCTTCTAAAGCTGCTTTTGGAAGCTCACTTGTTAAGCTGCTTAGAAGAACTCTTTGGATTCTTATGAACCTCCTCACAAAGCTCTTTACAAAGCTTAAAGCTCCGTACATGACTCCTTTCGCTCTTTTTAAGGCTCCTTTTTAAGGTGCCTTCAAAGGCTTCTTGTACAACTCCTTGTAAAGATGCTTGTAAAACAGGCTCCGTCACTAAAACAGCTCCTTTTTCAAGCTCCTTGTGAAGCCCCCTTCAGCTTGCACTCCTTTGCTCCGCTTCCGGGGCTCCTTGAAACGTTGGCTTGTGTTGAACCAAGGCTCTTCAGGTTCCAAGGCTCCTCATACCAAATTGGACTCTATTTGAAGCTTAATCAGCTTTTAGACAGTTCTGTTCTCCTGTCCTTGTTGAATGAGAGGAAAAAATGGGAATTCCTTTCCACATATGATGTGAAACATATAGACCTTAGAAAGGGCATACTTCAAACATATGGCGCATATCTACTGGATCGATTAGAATTTAAATGTGGAGATCCCTTTCAACACGATTTACATAAACATTTAATTAGACTTGTGATAGAATTGAAGAAGGAACACATGCAGTTGAATCTCTATTTAAAAGTAGGATCTACTTTGCAAATGGGACGGTAATCAAAGTTAATTGCTATGTACATGGAATTTGAGTCAAAGTGAGTTGCATTTCCAAAAGGCATGCAAAACGGTAGTGGACAGTAGCGGATAAGCAGTGGAGGGGATTTGCAAAGGTGGAAGATGGCAAATGAGCAGATGTGCAAAGGTAATGGTAGCAAATGAGCAGATTTCCAAAATAGAAGATGTGCAGGGTTGCAAAGGTGGATCATGGGGGGGTAGAATATACGGTCATGTTTATCTGACAGACACACCTGCCACGCGTGACCAACCGTTGTCCTTTCAGCGCGCTTTTAGCGCCTCATATTTGCGCCGTTCATGTCAAGAAACACCAACATTCCAGCGTGTCTGCTCTTGCACCTGGCTGCAATCCCCTCCATTGTCAGAACGACCCCAGGTCACAACAGCCCCAGATTCAAGAACAGCAGCAAAAGCGCTGCTAGTTGCTTGGATGTGCTGGACATTCCTCAGCTGCTCTTGCACCTGGCTGCTGTCTCCGCCGTTGTCAGAACGACCCCAGGTCACAACAGCCCCAGATTCAAGAATGGCAACAAAAGCACTGCCAGTTGCTTGGATGTGCTGGACATTCCTCAGCTGCTCTTGCACCTGGCTGCTGTCTCCGCCGTTGTCAGGATTACCCCAGGTCACCACAGCCCCAGATTCAAGAATGGCAGCAAAAGCACCCGCGCGAGTTGCTTGGATGTGCTGGACATTCCTCAGCTGCTCTTGTACCTGGCTGCTGTCTCCGCCGTTGTCAGGATGACCCCAGGTCACCACAGCCCCAGATTCAAGAATGGCAGCAAAAGCACCCGCGCGAGTTTCTTGGATGTGCTGGACATTCCTCAGCTGCTCTTGCACCTGGCTGCTGTCTCCACCTCCTCTTGCATGACCCCAGGTCACAACAGCCCCAGATTCAAGAATGGCAGCAAAAGCGCTGCCAGTTGCTTGGATGTGCTGGACGTTCCTCAGCTGCTCTTGCACCAGGCTGCTGTCTCCGCCATATTCTGGATTACCCCAGGTCACAACAGCCCCAGATTCAAGAATGGCAGCAAAAGCCCAGTTGGTTGCTTGGATGTTCTGGACGTTCCTCAGCTGCTCTTGCACCTGGCTGCTGTCTCCGCCGTTGTCAGGATGACCCCAGGTCACCACAGCCCCAGATTCAAGAATGGCAGCAAAAGCACCCTCGCGAGTTGCTTGGATGTGCTGGACGTTCCTCAGCTGCTCTTGCACCTGGCTGCTGTCTCCGCCGTTGTCAGGATAACCCCAGGTCACAACAGCCCCAGATTCAAGAATGGCGGCAAGAGCACAGCCAAAAGGAGAACTAGTTGATTGGATGCGCTGAACGTTCCTCAGCTGCTCTTGCACCTGGCTGCTGTCTCCACCTCCTCTTGCATGACCCCAGGTCACAACAGCCCCAGATTCAAGAATGGCAGCAAAAGCACCACCAAAAGGAGAACTAGTTGATTGGATGTGTTGGACGTTCCTCAGCTGCTCTTGCACCTGGCTGCTGTCTCCTCCCGACTCTGCAACACCCCAGGTCACACACTCGCATCCGTGGCCATGCCAAGCGAACGCCACACTAGTGGCAGCCAATTGGCCGATCTGCGCAACTGCAGCCACCATGTCCCCAGCTCCCAACCCGGCTTCGCTCACAGTGGCCGCCAAATCAAGCTGCTCGCCTTTCGCAATCAGCTTCAAGCGGCGCTGGAAATGCTGCTCTGCTGCAGCCTTCAGCTCGCTGACGAGCGTCTCCGGCGAGACTGCTATGGAGCAACCAGCTCCACTTGGCAAGCAAACATCCACCCTCATCGCGGTCCTAAATGTGGGGGGAGGGGATGTATAAACTGGCTTTCTGCTTTTGGGCCAGTTTAGGCCCGCATGTTTAAGGGAAGGTCCGGGCAAAAATCCCACGCGTCTGAGAACGCCTTCCAGTTCACGCCCCAAAGCTGTGCAAGCATTGCAGAAATCTGGCAAGGCATTCAACAATCTAGGTCTCTGTTTTTTGAGGCTACCCCTTTGGGGCTGGTTCACAGGGATCCCAAAGGAAAACCGCAACTTTGGGGTTCCCCGATTGACACACAGCGACTCTGGCCAAACGGCTTCCCGCCAAACAAGATGGCCGAAGAACTGCTCTTGCGAATGAACGGGAAGCCTACGAAATGGCTGCGGCTCAAAATAGGGTAACCCCAAAATGAAAACCCAAAATAAATGGAACCAAAGACTAAAACCCGTGGTTTTTTTCTCGTGGCTGAAAATTGTGACCCACAGCCAAATGGGGTTCCTTGCCCAAAACCGAAGTGCTAGTCCTCAGGGTCGTTCCTTGCCACGACCAGACTCGCACATGGCTCAAGGCTGACTGCCCCCCCCCCCCCCGTATGTTGTTCCTTTTTCAACATTGCGTAAGCGTCAAACATCGTTGTCCTTCTGGTTTCCCTTTGAATTAAACCAACCCCAAAACGGGCACCCTCAAAAAACACGGTTGGAGCCCCTGAACAAAAGCCACGCACGGTGGCGCAGCCTAACATAGGTGCTGACAGTGGGCGTTGCTCAATTTTGTGGGAATGCCCTTTCTTGTATGAAACCAAGTGGAATATTCTGGGGAATCCCAATTTTGCAGGTAACCCTTCGCCATCATTCATTGCCTTTAATGGGTTGCTTCTTTGGTTACAGGGAGAATGACAGGAACAGTCTGGTGACCGACACAAACCGGCACAAGCCTACAAACCTGAGAGTAAGCCTTGGCAATACTCGATTTACTCGGTTGCTTTCTGCTCCCCTGCTAAAAGTTCTAACTCTTAGTGGTTTAGTGGAAAACCCATTAGTTGGCAAAAAGTTAAAGTCCTAACAGCCAAGCAAAATGCACCAAAGTTTAGAATTGGCAATACTAGATTTAGCATTGGCAAGTTGAAGTCGAACCCAGAACCCCGGGATTTTCGCTAAAGAGGACCCCGGGGTCTGGTTCCACTGTCTTGCGGGGGGGAGGGGGGGGACATTAAAGCAAACCCAGTGTTACCCTAAATTGGACACACCCAAACACTGTGATGTTTCAGCATGTTTCAGCAGCCAACAGTTTGCACTCAAGGTCGATAAAGCTCTTTTGCTACAGAGAGTGACACCTCTTTGAGAGTTAGCCACATTCAGGGGAAGAAAAAAAAACGTGTGAGGAACATCCTGTCAGCCAAACCTGTCCACACCCCAAAAAGGAGGCCCCCCTTCTCTGCTCTTCATTCATGCTCCCAGCGATGTTTCATCCGAGGTTCCCACGATGCTCGTCTCTGCGCCACAAAAGCTTGCTCACAAATGGGAGCTTCTCACAAAGGTGGACTCCCTGTTGGCTGGCAGTTGAAGGGAAACCGCAAGAAACACAATGATTTTACTTGGTTGCTGTTGACCCCCTTGCAAAAAGCTTAACTTTTTGGGGGTTTAGTGGAAAACACCTGTATTTCCCAAAAAGTTAAAGTCTAAAGATCCAACCCAATAGCAGTCAAGTTTAGGGATGATCAACGCCATATCAATATCTCATCCACCTCGCAACATATGAAAACTCACATTGCTGCGCCTTCTGGCTGGCTCATGTTGTGTGCCTAAGAACCTAGGGAACATATCCTAATGGGAGGTGCCCTTTCTTTCTTTCGGTTTCCCTACGCTCCCGCCCTAGTCCCCTGTTTGGATTCCGGATCGGCACCTCCAACCCAGTTTTTTTTCTCCCATCTTTGAGGTCCCATTCGGTCCCATTTGGCCCGCCCGCAAGAGAGCTCCGCCTCATCTTGTGTTTGCTTGGCTTGAGTGGAAGCAAAGGAGAATCCGTCTTTTTTTGTTTCTGGCCCAGTGCTGCTAGTTACAACTAAAGTAGGTAATGTTGACACCATATCAATCAACCCCTGTTCACTAGTAGGGGGGGTTCCCCTCCAAAAGTGACGATTCCCCACTAAACACAGGTCGACACCCCCATATGAATACACAGGGGTTGATTAATATGGGGTCAATATTACCACTATAGTAGGTACTCAGGGATCCAGCTACATGATGGTTTCCCCTTGTTACCTACTATAGTGGCTCTGGAAGCACTAATTGCCCTTTCTTTCGGCCCAGGAACTGCTCGAGCAGCAGCGCCAGATTCACCTGAGGCAAGGCGAACGTGTGACCGAGTTAGGTGTCTTCTTTTGGACCCTGCAAAATGGTGGCTTTCCTTGTGGGCTTCCTTTTAAAAAAAGTAGCCTCAAAAACAGCCATTTGACTCTGGGTTCCATTTACATGGTTGCCCACTTGCCCACTTGCCCAAAAGACATGGAGAAAAAAAAAAGTTAACCTTTCGGGACATGTCCGAGGATATCATCTGTCTCTATGGGCTGTACTATAACCCCGATAAAACCAGGTACCCTACGAAAATTGCCGATTTGAGGCCCTCGACCTTTCAAAGACCAAGTTCCCGTCTCAGTGTCTGTGGACCTTTGAACGCGAGTTGTTGGTTTCACCTGTTCACTTCGCTGGATGGGTTCTGGTAGAGACTCGTTGAGAGCACGTGCCTATGTTCCTACCCAGTGCTTCCAGCTACCACTAATGTTGGGTAACCTTCAGGATCCTTACCTCTAGGTGTTACATGATGGATGGTTTCCCTGGTGGTACTCCTACAACGGCGTTTCACGCCTGGAAGCACTGCTCAACCCTTGCGGTTTGATCCTTCGAGGTGTGCTGCAGCCAGCTTTTTCCTGCACGCCGCCAAAAAAAATAAATAGCATCCCTTGGATCCATGTTTTTTGTTTTTCTTTGAAGGGTGATTCCCTTGGCTACAGGAAGAAATGGCCCAATCTGGTGAGTGAGCGAGTGAATCCCCAGGCGATAGGTATCCCTTGGATCGATCCTAGGTTTTTTGGCTTTGGAAGAGTGAGACTTTGTCGGTTGTCCATGGGGCGATGGAATCACTGGGGGAGTTACTTGGCTGGGATTGCTATTAGAGAGATGGCAGTTTCGTGTGTCAGCAAAGCAGGTGAGTAAGCCGGACATCTTTCCTTTGCTGGGCGTTTCCCGTCACAGTCAAGTACCAAAGAAGGGTGCCCGTACACAGGTCTCCTTTCTGGAAAATAGGATGGCCCTGGTAGATGATTGAACCACCAATCATCCAAACCAGGGCCCTCTATTTATTCACCAAACCAACCAAAACGGACACCTATGTGCCCATGTGTGTTTGTCCCCATCACCGGGCCAGTGGGGCGCGACCAACCCCGCCCAGCTGTGAAGCCGAAAAACATTCTCAAGGCGAGGGGAAGCCATGGCCCAGTGACACCTCTGCATCTGTGAACTTGTTTGACCAGCCATCGGGTTCCAGGCAGGTTCTTTGTTGTTCCTTGCTGAAAGGCGAGTGAGTTTCTGTATTTCACCCACAGACACGTTAAACACTTCTAGCAGATGAGAGAAAAAGAAGAAGAAAAAAAACACACACACACACACACACCCAAAAAAAAAAACGGGAAAGGCCCAGTTGACCTCGTTTCCCCGTGCTTTGGAAACCCGGTGCTTCATTGGAAAACCCCGGGAAACCCGGCAAGCGCCCTCCCAGCCGACGCCCCGCTGGATGCCGCCTCCAGGATCTGCTTCTTCTGAGACTCTGCGGCCATCAGATTCCTGGCCCCGGACCAACGTTGGACACGGAGACCATGGGGTTACCGTCCTCCCTTGAGTTGGTCGCCCAGTTTTGGTTTCTTTAAAGGGAAACTGCCCTTTTTGAAGTTGGTCGCCTTTTTATTTTATTTGAAGGGAAACCAAGAGGAAACACCCGTTGCCCCACTTAAATGGGTGTGTCGCTCGTTTTTGAGTTGGTCGCCCTTTTCGGTGGGTATTGAACGGAAACAGAATAGAAAACCATTGCACCACCTTTGGGGGTCCAAGCTAAAACGGGTTAAACGTGGGGCCTGGGATCATGGCCAGACCTGAAACGGCCAGTGAAATTCGACCCAGGTTGACTGAGCCCTGGTCCCAACAACTGATCCCTTGGGTTTTCGTCACCTGGAGGTTACGTGGAAGAGTGTTTAAGGACCCTCTGTCAGGTGCCATGTTAGTAGAGAGAGGTAGCAACAAAAAAAAATACACCAGGAAGATAGACGCTGACCTCTGATGCTGGCAACCGGGATCCACTAGGCGTACTGTCTGAAAACGGATAAAACCGAAATCCGTGCCAGGCAGTTGGGATGATGAAGCCCATCCAAAGAACTTGAATAAACCACCTACTGGCCAACTGGTGCCCGCCCACAGAAGCTTGTGAGGCTGTTGTTTAATCATCAAATGGCGTTGACCGCCTCCAAAGATCCTCCAAACATGGAGAGGATTGAAACACCTCGGCATCAAATGCACCCTGGCAACGGTGCCCTTTGCTGGATGCAATTGCCCCTTGCCCAGAACATCTAACCTTCTGGTTGGTGAATACATACACATGGTCTCACAATGGTTAAAGCTTCGACCAAACCGCCTTCAGGTTGAAGCGCAGCAACGTGTGCAAAAAGGGTAGCAAGTGGCGAAGGATGCCAGTTGGCATCTGTTCTGGGCAATGGGGGCATACGATTCAAAGCGTACACCATCTGGAAAAAGATCCTAAAGTATAGTAGTCAATACACAAACCAACTAGCAAACAAAACAATCATTGGAAGTCAATACTAAGCCAGTTCGAACAGTGCTGGAGTATTCCAAAGTACTACTAAACCCGTTCTCCAAACAAGCGATCTTCATCATCGGAGGTCCGGGGTGGCCCTTTTTGCCTTTTTGCCCCATGGCGACAAAACGACTATAGTCGATCCAGAACGAGCAAACCCGAATTCATGGTGCGCTTCACCGAAAGTGAAGGCTTCTGCGTGGAATGGGATGTAATAGGATGACCAGCTCGGCAGGCACGTAGCTTAAACAACCTCTACTTGTTAAGTCCCCCTGAGTAGGACTTATCCTACATACAACCCCACTCATGCAAAACCAGGACTCGCTAGTGGTCAGCCAAGGGCTGGCTGGATTTTTCCATGGGAGAACCAGCCCCGGTTGTATTCGCCACTCAGTTGTTCAGTGACCCTGGAAAAAAAAGGGATCCCTTTTTGGGGAACCATTTTTAGTGGGGCAGCCACCCAAGAAAAAGGGAAAAAGGGTGCCACTGAACAACTGAGGCCAGACATCGCCAAAAAAAAGAGGTCACCTTGCGCTGCATTCTCGCCTGATGAGCAGCCTCGTGCCGAAGGTGAGGCAGTCTGCATCCTGGATGCGCCCCATGGGAAAATTCCAGTGGAATCATCATGCCCTGAGGTGGGTCCAGTGGAAGCATCATGCCCTGAGGCTTCCGAAGGAACCCCAACGAAATCTAGCGAGCCTTATAAACCTGAAATACCCATCCCCCTACCCCCCTTGAACACTCCACAAGCTCCTAGTTACCTACTAGAGGTTCTTGCCACCGAATTGGAATCGAATACATCCGGCCCGGAACCCGACATTGGTTGGAGACCTCCGAAAAAAAGGCTCTGCAAATTGGTTCATGGCGAAAGGGGTATGCATTTCCTGCGTTTGCTCAAGTGATCACTTCCTCATTTTCTTCGACCTTGCAAATGATGCATGTTGCATCCCGGAGCTACAACCCTTCTCTAGGTCCTGGTGATTAGTGGGGCCCGGGGTTGGCACCCTTTGGTGGTGTACGCGGAGATTGGTTGGGCGCTCCCTCTCTTTCCAATGGAAGCGCGCGGAGACATGATATTGCTTGTTAGATTTGGCTTGATGCTTTTTACTAAGAGTCCGGCCAAATGAAAGAATTGGAATCTGTTTTAGGTTTCAGAGTGAGAGAGGACAACATGCAGCAAACTAATCTCAGGGGGGGAAATGCAAAGCAAAAACAACTCGAGAAACAACAACAAAAACACGCCAGCACTTCTCCTCTGAGTTGTGTTTTGCTGGTTTGCTCAAGTTGTTTGTTCGGTTTCCATCAAGTGGGTTTGCTTTGTAGCCAAGTACTGAATCACATGCTCAGAAGGGTTTATCATGCTTTATACAAAAGTGGTTGTTTGCTTCAAACAAGAACATCAATACAAAGCTGTTGCATTCTTCTTGGAGTGGACTTGGGGGGGGGGCGGTTGACCCATATACATATATGCATATGCATACCGCCTAAGAAACGGACACACATTGTTCTCAGTAGGGAACGAGGGAATGACCCCCGATGAACCATCCCGTGTAGCTTCCTTTAAAGGATGCCAAATGGTTCATTCCCAAAACTCCTCTTCATCCCAGCTGAGCATCAGAGGGCTACTCAAAGGATACGCCATGCCACAGGGAGGGGGGGGCGGTAGAGGTGAGGCAGGTTCACCCCGAAATAATATCATTCGAAGGCTTTCAACACTTACCAGCAAAATTTTCCCCGAATTGGTGTGGGACTTGGTTTCAGGGATTTCAACCCCCAGTTCCTGTTGATATGTAAAGAATCGGCAGACATGGCCAGTGTACAAGCACAGGGTAGAACCGCCTGTTCCCTTTGTTGGCTTGAGGGGTCTTTAATAAGATACTCAAAGCCGAAGCTGCAAGGCTGATGGACACATGGGTCCAAGCATTCTGAAACAGCCTCGAGCATGCCCTGTTTTTAAGAAGCAAAAAGGCAACTGCATAAATCATCTACCTGGTTTGATTGTGGCACATTTGGGTCTGGCTATTTGTTCCAAAGTGCAACTTCTGAAAACTCCACTAGGTACTCCAGTAGAGAGGCTAGAACAAGGGTACCAACTTGTTTTTGTGTTTTTTCCTTTTTTTCTGTAGTCTATTTTAGTAGGGGAACCCTCCCCCAAAAACGGGGAGAGAAGGGCACTACTAGGGGACCTAGTCCACAAAGGCCCTGAAACCTCCGCAAAGGCCCAGTTCGCTCAACGCCTCCGTGGCAGCTGCAAAGACCTTGCCATCCCGGCACAGCGCTGCGCAGGTCCTTGGCCGAAACGGATCGCGAGCCTTCGAGGCTGGCCCATGCTGCAAGTGAAAGACTTTTCGTGGGTTAAATGGAAACCCCAAACCACTAAACCAACTAAAAGCCTAACAACCCAAGAGAGAATGGCTGGGAACAAAAAAGAGCGGGCCCTTTCTCTGGGCAGGAGAAAAAGTAGAACCTCCTGGTTGACTCTGATCAAAAGGCGTCCCAACTTTTAGCGGGGGTGAAGGACCCCGCTAAGAAGGACGGTTTGTTCATCCGGGCTGAAGATTGTGCCAGCATTTTTTTGTACGCCTTATAGCTCCATAATACCTCCACAACTCAAAAACAACACGGGATAGATGCTGCAACACAAGTACGCCAAACAAATGCGACCAGGGGCGGGGCGGGCATTCCACTATTTGTAGGAAATGGGTTGCCCAAGATAGACTGAAGCCACCCTATTCGCCTGAAGGTGTTCCATCGTCCAAGGTAGCCTCCGAGGTACCAAAGCAATTACCAAATTGTGAGTTTTCAGGAAGACCACCGCCATTTTTGGGGCTGCAGTGTTCCTTTTGGTGTCCTGAAGATGCAAGAAAAAGTACCCTGCCTCCAACTAACATGGCACCTGTGGGGAGGTACCTGGAAGATATGATTTCCTTTTGAAGGGACCCGAGGTCAGTTGCCATTTTCGTGGGGAGGGGAGGGTACCCTCAACCGACCTACCCACACGACCCAACCGCAGTCCACCAATTCTCTGAGGCCGCGGGCGCCTCTGCCTCGCTGGGGGCCTCCACCTCGCTTTCCCGGAGTCGATTTGAGGAGCCTTCGGGCCGAAAAGCCTAGGGTTAGATCCAGTGGAGAGCTTAGAGTAAGGGTACCAGGGTTTTTCCTTTTGTCTATTTTAGTAGGGGAACCGAATCTCACCAAAAAAGGGGTGAGAAAGGGCACTACTGGGGGACCTAGGTTCGTTTGGGCGAAAAACCCTTCAAACACCTTCTTGGGGGTTTGGAGAGCTGGGCTCTGAGAGAAGCATGATGACTAGCTGATTCCATTGCTCTGTTTTTTTCCTCCCCTTTTTCCTTTTTGCTTTCCGGTAACCCAGGGGGTTTCGCGCTCTTGATTCGATAGCAGTTGAAAATTCATGCCACACCTGTTACGCTGGCTTTCTGGGATCCACAGGCTCAGGCATGGGATTCCCGCGTGGATGGGCTTCCCGAACACAATTCACAGTGAATGAAACCCGAAGATCAGCTTCCCTCTCATTGGTGGCTTGGATTGGGGGTTTGGGTGGTTTCCCAGTTACCCTCTACAAGAACAAGGGGGTTCAAATCCCCTAATCCATCAATCCGCACCGACAATTTCTAGCTACCTTAGCACACTTGGATAAATCACCTACCGACTTGTGCAGAATTTTGGTCTGTCGTCACACTGTCCTCACTTTTGACGCGATTCCACCGGTATCGCAGAAACTGGCCATATCCGAATGTTCAATGCCCAGAATCAACAAATCGCTCTGCCGGTTGATCTCACTCCAAAAATAAATCTGGACGAAGGTCAACATTCTAACACGATAAACTCGCCGAGTGACGTGGCTCCCGGAAAATGACATGTTTTCCGTCCCTGGTTTCGCCATGACGTAAAAACAAACAGGCCGCGGATCTGCGAAACCTGTCCACGCTCATGGATCCAGAACCTGTGCAACCAGGGGAATCATCCGTTACCCAACTTGGGGATAGGCTGTGGGTAGGGGGCCGTCCATGATGTGTTGGCGAAAACCACAAAAGAACAAAAACACGACTCTGGAGATGCACGTGGTGGAAAGAGATCCATCCCCATCAGACCCAGCAGACATGGCACTCTGTTTTGGTAGCCGGCTTCTCAAAGGGAACCCCCCCTCCAAATAAGCTCAGGTGATATCCCCAAGAGCATGCCGTGCTCTTAGTGCTCGCACCACCCCGCAGCCCTCGCAGAACCTCGTGGAACCCTGGTGCAACCCTGGTGGAACCCTGGTGGAGCCCTTGTCTCGTGGAACCTTACCTCACGGCCGCCCCGGACCACCCCGGAGCCTATCTGGGCTGACCACAGCTTTCAGCTGTTTCGGAAAAAGGAAAACAACGGAAATGCACTGCATGTCTGGGGCACAGTCCAGACCCAAGCGAGTGGGTTTCATTGAAATCCCCCAGAAATGGCCAAAGACAAACTGAGCCCACTGGAACTAAGAAAAGTGACAAAGGCTTCATAGACCTTTGGCCCCCCGCCCCCAAAGAAAAAGACACCCCGCCATTGCAACAACGACCGGGCCCTTGTCTTTGAAGAGAAACCATGAGGTTGTTCCTGGGTGATTGAATTGGGGAATCCCGCAGTGGGGGTGGTCCAAGGGGGGCGGGGTTCGGTTCTTTTATTTTAGACTCCCTAAGGAACCGCCTACCCACTCCCCCTGCACCTACCCCCCAGAATGGGATTCCACAATTGAACATGCAAACCGTTGAATCGAAGCCTGGCCCTGATGCTTGTTTACGGACCCTTTTTTTAAGTTTCTGGGAAGGCAAAGATTCGGTTTCCCGCCCCGTTTTGGGGTACCTCATCATACGCGTATTTTTGGGGAGGTTCTCCGCCACAAGTTGGGATTTAAGCTGAGTCTCGCCGCCTGCGGCTCCTGAGGCTCCCAGCCACTGGCACGCCCATGAGCCTCAGCAGCTTCTTGGTCTCTTCGTTCTGCTCCCGGGTGACCTTCACCGTCGCCTCGGGAGCCAGTCGCTTCGCGCATGCCGCTTCGCCGCTTCGCCGCTTCCCCGCTTCGCCGCTTCGCCGCTTGGCGGAGGGGGGGGCAGGCGGGGTGATGAACCTCATCCGGTGCCAATTTGGAAACGAACCTGGGAAAGTGAGGTCCAACTTGGAGCTGAACTGCTGAGCCCGTGCCTGTAGAAAAGGGAACATGGACGTTTTGGGGTGGATGTATACATAGAAGATATGCCAGATCCACCAAGGGCTGCTGCGTGGAAACAGCCAAAAAGACAGATGCGGAAGTGAGGCAAGGACGAGCGATCGGAACAGAGCCAACACGGGAGAAAAAAAAGCTGGACGGCGGAAATCCTGCTGGTTCAACTTGCTGGTTCTCAGAAGGGAATGACCCCTTTAAACCATTCCCTGCAATTTCCTTTAAAGGAATCCCCTTCCGGTTGGCGCCAAAAGCCCGGAAGGTCATTCCCTATTGCACCAGCAGATTCGCGCATGGGGTTGGTACCGTCTAAGGAGGCACTTTGAGCCCTTTCAACCCCTCAAAGGCCATCCAAGCGGAGCTGGATTTCTTTTGGTCGCATGGAATCGTGAAAAGGAGGTCCTGTTCCGGGGAAGTCAATGATCCGGACAGAAGAGGCATAGCGGAACAGGCGTGATACCAACGTGGGCCCAAATGGGTGTCTTTTTTCTTTGGGACCCCAAAAAGAATGAATGGTTCACCTCTTGAGTTCCCTTTAACACCTGAAAAAAAGAGCAGCCACCCAACTACACTGGCAGCGAAACCCCAAACCCCACGCTGACTTTGGGCATGATTGACCCAGAATATGACAATCAAAACTGTGATGTCAAATGGGGTGTCTCTCTTTTTGTTTCAAAAAAAAGTGCCCCCCAAATAGTGGCTTGCTTTCTGCTCCCCTGCTAAAAGTTTTTAGCTTTTAGTTGGTTAGTGGAAAACCCACTAGTTGGCAAAAAGTTAAGGTCCTAACAGCCCTTGGCAAAATGCACCAAACAAAAGGTGGTTTGCCTCATGTTTGCCTCTTGGGTTCCCTTTACCACCACAAAGACACCCAGCTGGCCGTCCTTGGTGCTCTTCAGGATCGCCTCCGCGTCCCCGGACTCCATTGCGACCTGACCGAAGGTTCCAGGCCTTCAACCGACAAAAAGGGCGTGGGGGAAAAATCAAAGGGGTGTCTCGTTTTTTTGGGGGGGAAGCCACTTTTTGCCTGCTTTAAAAGGAAAACCAAAAGGAAACAACCACTTTCGGGGGGGGGGTCACGCCCGAACGGCAGAATTCCAGTTAACGTGGGAAAGCTTTCACACAACTCACAGTGTGTTCTTTTAGAGGATACCCTTTGCACGTTGGTTTCAAGGGAAACCAAAATGAACACTTCCATTTTGGGGGTCCCTGTGTTTTGGCACATACGCACTGGTTCTACTATGGCTCGACTCAACCAGGCAGAATCAAATATGCCGAAACGTTCACTCGGGGTTGCTCAATTTGCCGGGGAGTTCCCGTGCCGACTTTGGGTTCCGCCAAAATGGTTACGCAGTTGCCCCCAAAAGACACAGAAAGAACAGCTAATCCGGGCCTTGACTAAAAATCAACCAAGCAAAGGAAACTAAAAGGTCAAAAGGTCAATGCAAGTGAGGTTATAACTTGCTGGTGCTCGGGAATGAGAAAATGACCCCTTACAAACATCCACCCGGTGGTTTCCCTTTAAGCAGACAAATCAATTCCTGGGTTCATTCCAATTCGCATTCCCTCCTTATGGCACCAGCAAAAGATAAAGGGTCATTGGTCGATCTGTTCCGATCGATGTTCCGCTTCCTCTGGTCCCAGGCCACGGGAAGACTTGCAAAATCTGGCATCAGAAACCCCGAAAACGGTGCGACAACCCTTGGTTGACGTTGGAAGGGGAGCAAAACTTCTCATTTTGTTTAAAGCAGTTAAGTGGTTGGCTTTCCCACTAAACCACAAGCAAGCAAGAATGTGTCCAACGTTTCCCAACAACAACCACGAACCCACGGGTAAACCACTCCGCGGGGCCGTCACGTGAGGGTGCAGTTTCCGTTGGGGTCGTGACCCGTGAACCACCGAAAGGGGTCGGACCCCACATTTTGCCGCACCCATGTGGGTGTTGGTTTTCGCTTTTGAGGGAGCCTGGTTTTAAAGGAACGCCAAAAGGAAAACCTACCATTTTGGGGACCCCTAAAGAAAAGGACACACCCATTTGCACGACAGACGTTCAGAAGTGTGATACTGCGAAGCAGATTTCCCAGACTGACGCTGGAATGCCACATGGGGAACCAGAAAGGGTGCCACATGGGGAATACAATTGCACGGATTGGCGGGGTCCATCGGGTGAATTCTTTGCAGGCCATTCTACGTGGAAGGGTGAATGGAAGCCTCTGATCCGCAGAGATGAGCAAATGTTGAAACCCATGAAGCAACCTTAACCTCCAAATTCTTAAGCTTTCTGGGGAAAATGAGCATATGTCCGGTAGTGATAGCTTCCCTTCAAACCAACTTAAGCAAACGGAAGTTGACATTGAATGCTTGCAAAACATCTATTGGTGATGCTTGCCATGCCGCACTTCACGTTCTGAATGTAGACTTCAAAAACGGATAAATTAGCGCTGCCGGATCTCGAAAAGGTGCCGCCTTCAACTTTAGGAAGCAAGAATGGCCAGGAGAATTCGTTCCTTCCAGTCTTGGATGCACTAATTGAATTGGACTCGGAATTGCAAAATCGACTCGGGGCCAGAGGCCGGGCTTCGCAAAGCACACCATTCAACTTAGCTCGATCTGGAAACGGCCAGGGCACAGTGCCAAGAGGTTGGTTCACCGTCAAAACTCACCGCAACCCAAAGAGGACACAGGCCCAAACAATATCACACACAGTTTTTGAGGCCTCAGCTCCACAAGATAGGTTTCAACAGCTGCGCCTCTGGACATATCAAACAACCAATGACGGTGTTCTCACGTTGCAGCTCAGTGCATAGGTGACATTTTAAGGAAAAATTGATGGGTCCCCCCGGTAAATGGGGCATAAAACCAATCTATACCAGTGGAACCCATCTAATTCCATCCAAAGTAAGCGATGAAAAGGACACCTGTGGCTAAGTGGCGTCCTCAGATCCCTTCTTAAAAGTGTTAAAAGTTTAGTGGTTTAGTGGAAACTACGATACTAAACCACTTAAAAACTATTGAACCGGATGCTTGAACCACCAAGCTTCGCGGACTTGGCGAACCTTGCAGGTTTCACAAGTTCCAATCTTTCAAGCTATGCCGGCACAGGGAGGCAAGCGGCGGTGACTGACGTGTAGTTGGCATCTTTCTCTCAGCTTCGCAGTTGCGTCTCCGGCAAAAAACGGCACACAGCACCGGCAGTGGCCGACGCTGGACGCTTGAGGGAATGAAGTTTAGGTCACAAAAACTGCCACTCGCAGGTGCTACAGAGACGAGCGAGAGAGATGGCGCGTGTTTCCCGGTGGGACAAAACACACTGCAGGGCAAAAGCAGCGGAGAATCTGAACTTTGCCACGCCTAACTCGTCGACGAAGTCATCTTGGGCCTAACTCAAACGCAAGAGTAGGCGAGAAAACCAAATGCAAGAACGCTGACGCCCGGTCGTCACAGTTACTCAAGGCCAGTTAGGGTCACCCAAAAGCGATCATCCTATGCCTTCACGGGTTTGTGAGGGGCCCAAGGGGCTGGGGTTCAAGATGGTTCAGGCCCCCAAACCACCAATCCACACCACAAAGATTTAGCAGTAAATAGGGAGACAGCAACAAGCTGGTGGTTTTTCTTGGTGTTCCTTTGAACAACCGCAAAAAAGTCTCCCTACCTGAAACACGTCAAAACCGAACACCTGGAGATGAGCCGAGACCGCCGAGACCGCCGAGACCGCCGAGACCGCCGAGACCGCCGAGACCGCCGAGACCGTGGGCGCCTGGCGGTTCGCCTCTGCCTCCTTCCGCTTCTCCCTGCGCTGCTCCAGCTCCTGAGCGCTCATCGATTCGGAGCGGCGAGCGGAGCCATGGCAGCTGGTTTAAGCTAGTTGTAACCATTCGTCGCCATGTGTATCTACGTAATATAAGTGTGCGTGTGTGTGTGTGTGTGTGTGTGTGTGTGTGTGTGTGTGTGTGTGTGTGTGTGTGTGTGTGGTGTGTGTGTGCGTGTGTGCGTGTGTGCGTGCGTGTGTGTGTGTGTGCGCGTGTGCGCGTGTGCGGTGCGCGCGGTGCGTGCGTGCGCGGGTGTGCGCGGGTGCGCGTGCGCGTGGCGTGCGGCGTGCATGCGCGCGCTGTGCGCGTGTGGCGCGCGTGTGCGCGCAGTGCGCGGTGCGCGCCGTTGCGTGCGTGCGCGTGCTGGGCGCGCGGCGCGCGCGTGCGTGTGCGTGTGCGCGTGTGCGTGTGCGTGTGCGTGTGCGTGTGCGTGTGCGTGTGCGTGTGCGTGTGCGTGTGCGTGTGCGTGTGCGTGTGCGTGTGCGTGTGCGTGTGCGTGTGCGTGTGCGTGTGCGTGTGCGTGTGTGTGTGTGTGTGTGTGTGTGTGTGTGTGTGTGTGTGTGTGTGCGTGTGTGTGTGGGTGTATGTCTGTTTCTATTTCTGTGTATATATATACATATATATATATGTATATATATATATACATATGTAAATATAATACATATATATATATATATATTTATACATATGCGTTTGTGTGTGTGTGTGTGTGTTTGTGTGGGTGTGCTGTCCTTTGCCGAGTGCACCCTTTTTTTCGGGGTGTTTGGAGGGTGCCCCGACAACTAGCCGACCCCTGAAAAGGAAGAGAACGAGCCACGAACATGCCCCTTGAAGAAAAGACTCCGTGTTCACTCCAACAAAACATGCGCTGAAGCCCAAGAACATTCATAGAATATTTTCCCCAAATAGTGTTTACACTGTGGGGTTCTTTCAGCAAGAGTTAAGGCCAATACTATTTGGGGTCTCTTGCCGGGATAATATGCTGAAAGGGATGAACTCAAGTTCGGTATCGCTGAGAGCAGTTTGGTCGAGAGCTGCCTGAAGCTCTGCCGGCAATGTCATGTTCCATGAACCCCTGTTGAAAGTGGTGTGTGGTCTTGACACCACAAGCACCAAACTAAAAAAGACGTTCAAAGTTCGAGATGAGCGTGCAATCCCAAACAGTGCCCTCTACCCCAAAGCCATCCTCAAGGTCCTTGGACCCTCGAAAGGAAATGGAAACCACTTCCTGGCGATTCCGGCCAAGAAAATCTCGGCCACGAAAGGCTCGTGATTGCTCGCCGGCAAATTTTCACCCGGACCCAAGAACAAGAGGGGAGTCCAACCCAAAGTTTTGCTCTAAAGGGTGATGTCTTGTTGTGTTCCCGGGTAATCTGTAGAGGACTAGACCTTGCGAGCGAGGGATTCTTAGGGCCAAACCCTTCTCAGGGCTTGCGATCTCCCGACGTCTCTCTTGACACGGCGTCCAGTCCCAAGCAAGAAACCTAGTGGACCACAAGCCCGTCTCGGAGACTGTTCGACCAAGCCTTTGACCCTCTGAAAAAACCGTCCCCAACAGGGCCGTATTTTTTTTGGGACATGCCCACATCCAAAATCGGGGGCTCAACTCAACACCCTTTTTGTGATCCAAAAGGTTGCCATCCAAAATCATGGACAGTGAGCTTTCCGGAAACGGCAAATTAAACAAATCCAGGCTTGAGAAGCTCGCTAAGTCTGACCCCTCCCATCTCATGCAACTCTCCCGACTCCCGATTGATCCTGGTACTCTCCCCAGCATTGGACAGTTCAAACCGCAAGATCTTTAGCTTTGCCATTCCGGTCCTACTGGCCATGAAAGGACCTGGAGAGGATTAGAGAAGATTGGAGAGGATCAAAAAGGGACGAGAGGACCGGGTTAATCAGGTGGGGACCAGGAAGACCTACCAAAAATACGAGACCTGGTCAACCGCTTTTTTGAAACAAAGGTTTCCTCCTAGGATATTGGGTACTTCTTGGAGGGCGCGACGCTTTCTCAGGGGATAGGGATTATCAGCCCCCAGAGCGACCATTCACAGGCCAGCCCGCTCCAGAAGTTTCATCTCTGGCGGCTTGCCGTCGAAGACGTAGACTGGCTTGATGCCACTCCTCAGAAAGCTTCTCTGCACATTTGGGGTGTGTGTTTTTGTTGAGGCGACCCTTTCTAGGCTCGATTGAAAAGGAAACCAAAAGGAAGACCACTCTTTTCGTGTCCCGCCTCGAACCCTAAACCCCGCTCCCCTGGCTCCTCAACAAAATTTCAGGCCTTATTGGGAAACCAGGCGGAAACGAGTAGGGCTATAGACACGTCGGGCATCCTACAAAGTTGAGGGCTGAAAACTATGGAGACCACAATTTTGCGACTTTCTGATCCATCTGGGGTGAACTACAATTATGCAGCAATCATTCACCAACCTGAAGCAAAGCCTCAAATCCCTTTAGATCGCCAAACTTTGGCGAAACCCCATTCTTGTGGGTCCAATGGAAAATCAGACCTGTTTCAACCAACAAGTTGACGTCCAAAGATCCAACCAAAAAGCCATACCGCCAGCTTTCCAGAAGAAAACTTGGCCCAAAACAAGTTCCTTCGCTTCCTCCGCTTCGTCTTCCCTCAGCTTTTCACCAAATTATCTTCAGCGGGTGCACCAAATCTTCGAACACGGAATCAACGAAGGGTTCATCTAGCTCACCTCTGACCCCTTTTGGATCGCAAGATCCTAACATCGGTGATTTCTTCACTTGAAAGAGGCTTCCTGAAGGGTGCAGCAAGCCTAAGAAACAGGGCGGGGCCAACCCTTTGTGTTGAAGATGACTGAACTCCTGATGTTCAAACATCCTTTTGGCTTCTATTCCATTTCCCAGGGCTCCGTTTCTAGTTGGTTTTCCTGCAGTTGACAACTCCACTTTTCTGGTTGCAAAGGGTTCATCTCCCGCCAACTCACACCATACTGTGGATGGGCAATACTCATTGCGCACCAGTTGGGATGGACGAATTCCTATGGACGGGATAAGACAACCACCTGGTGCGACATGGATTTCTTGCAAGGCGTTTCTGCGCGGCGCTTGTCCGACCTCGGCTGAGTGGAAGCTGCAATCTAAGAGTTCCGAAAGAACACCAGCTCACTCACTTGAGTGGATGGGCCAAAAAGAGTCTGAACTTTCTATTTGCCACTCAAATGGCAACCAAACTCAGAAAGTGAAAGTCCGAAACGGAACTCGTTGGAAGTGAGCACAATGTCGGCCCTAACCCCCTCCATATTTGTTCTGCTTCATCGGGCTCTTCTCAAAGGCCGCACGCTGATCCTTCATGGCAGGGTCGTCTGATTCACAGGGTGCTCCCTCCGAAACTGGCGCGGGTGTCCCTCCCCCCCCAAATCAAAATCAACCAGGGGGTCCACTCAAATCCGAGGTTCATCCCTCAAGAGTGGGATTGAAGATGGTCTCCCTTGTCCAATGCCCCGGGCTCCAAAAAAGTCTCACCTCTTGTATCCCAATTTGATTGCTTGGTGATGAAATTGGAGCCGGACGGTCCCGAAAAAGACAGGTCAAAAACCGTCTCGATCCTTGTTTTCAACGCCTAGCAAAGTTGTTGTTGTTCGAGGTTTGCTAGAGACCCTCTTATTTGCACGGGGAGGTATGTCCACCAACCACTTTCGAGGTAGCTCCCGGAAATATCAAGTCAAATCGTGCGTGAGTTGTATCCCATCTACTTGGGACCAAGACTTGCCGGTGCGATAGGGAATGAGAAGTGGAATGAACAGGAACGGGATTCCCGAATGAAGAAAACCAACTCAAATGGATGGTTTACAGGCGCTCATTCCCTCATTCCCTGCCTATCGCACCAGCAAGTACATGGAATGGTTGAGCCTGAAATTTTCGCCCCAATCCATGCCTTCCGCCAGGGCCTGCTGAGCTTACCTAGATCCCCAGCAAGGCCTTTATTTTCCAGCTACTTGGACCAAATTCTGGGCTGGTAACTTACCCCTGAAAACTCCAAGCCCTGGGGAAGTTAATCTTTTGCAGACATATAGCCCATGTTACCCAAAAAGTGAAAAAGTTGTGTGCTTTAAGAGGTAAGGTAAAGTGGCTGGGAAAAAGTGGCCTCCTGGGGGGGTTCCAGGTAGGGTTTTCCAGCCCAGGGCTCGGCTTAGGCAGAAGAAAATCCGACATCTCCGCGCCTATGGCGCCGGGATCCCCGGCTCCATCAAGCGGATGGTCCGCGTGAGCATGCCGATGATGTGAGACGTGACCTTCCGCGCAGAGCAGCTCCCCCTTTTCTAGGTCCAGATTTGGAGGTTAGAATAAGGCTACCAACTTTTTTCTGTTTGGTCTATTCTAGGGGAACCCCCTCCCTCAAAAAAGGGGATAGAAGGGCACCTAGCTGGGGGACCTAGTTTTTTCCCTTCCCGGGCTGTCCGTTTTTTTTTTTCCGATCCCCTGCTCAAAGTGACATCAGCTTTTTGTGGGTGAAATGGAAGCCCGGCCAACCGCCGAACCAACCGAAAACACCCAAAAGGCCGAAAGAACCGGATGCTTCACCTGAGCTGGACAGAAGGAATCCTTTCTTGGAACCGTTGCTTCATGTCCGAGACTTCTTGTGATTTGCTCATGGCCATTTGTGCCCATCTCTGGAGTGATGGACTCCGGGTGAACTCGGAGAATGGCGCAAAACTATATCGCACGTATAAAAATGTGTTTACACATACATGTATATAAGTATACATGATTCAGAGATTGACATATGGGTCTGTCTTTTTATGGGGGAACGCCTGTGTGGGGTGGTTTTAAAAGAGAACCACAAGGGAAACCACCATTTTGGGGTCCCCGAAAAAGAAGACACACGCAGCTGGAAGTGTAGATGTGAGTCAGAATCAACACCTGATATTCACATGGCCTGCCCATTTCAAAACCATGGTGGTCACAACTATTATCGATGGGACTAATTCTTTGCTAACCTTCACCACCCTGGGTGTTGATTGTGGCTCGTGAGCCTGTC